TAGAGACACTGAGTGATATGGCTGGGTGTCGTAAACAGTGGCGCTGGTGCATCTTGTCGATTTTTCTGCAAAGAAGTACTAGATGTTTTCTTCGATCCTACTTGCAACCTTTCCCGTCTTTCACCTCACGTATATTCAAATGAATAGCCAAAAGACAGTAAGTAATACCGGCGTACGATTCTGCATCGTTAACGGTTGTAGAAACTGAAACCTCAGACAAGTGTGAAATATGTTCATAATAATATTACTGATATTGGAAACATCCTTTCCCTTTGATCCACTTGGGTAAAACAAGTAACACAATATGAGCAGAATTGATATTGGCCATCAATTTCGCGTGCTCTCAATCAGCTGTCTACGCACATTAAGTAGGTCAAATTTTATCATAAGAATACCATATACGGACATTTATATAATTACATGGGTTCACGCAGAAGACAATGGGTTGTTGAGTCATTACCAAAGTCATTTCGTATGGGTGAAAGAGGAGGAGGGGAATTTTAGCATAGGAACAGTTACTTAATGGAAAACGATTAGCCGTGGTGGAAAGCGCGTTGGACATGGTTACGTAATACGAAAAAGATACAACCAGAAATGAATTCGAACAGACGTAGAACGTTAACGGAGTCAAAAATTGATCAATCAAGTGACGCAGTGGCACGAAATTTTCCGGACACTGCATGGACAAACGCAAAGCTTTCCGCGTTTTGCTCAAAGTTCGAAGCCCAAGGATGCTTTGGTTTGCTGAAGCGGTTGTCATTAGCCGTTTAAAACCTGACGTATGCGCGCAAAAGGCCTTTGTGATGCATTTGTTCGTACCATGGTAATTGCCCTCCCATTTCCTTCCCATCATCTAAACCGTTCTCTTACATCATTGTTGATACTTCACCCTTCTCATTTTCTTATTACGTAACTCTCTTTGACTTACTTAATTGATCAATTTTTGACTCCGTTAACGTTCTACGTCTGTTCGAATTTATTTCTGGTTGTATCTTTTTCGTATTACGTAACCATGTCCAACGCGCTTTCCACCACGGCTAATCGTTTTCCATTAAGTAACTGTTCCTATGCTAAAATTCCCCTCCTCCTCTTTCACCCATACGAAATGACTTTGGTAATGACTCAACAACCCATTGTCTTCTGCGTGAACCCATGTAATTATATAAATGTCCGTATATGGTATTCTTATGATAAAATTTGACCTATTTAATGTGCGTAGACAGCTGATTGAGAGCACGCGAAATTGATGGCCAATATCAATTCTGCTCATATTGTGTTACTTGTTTTATTCAAATATTGCTGATGTTGACGTGTCGAGATTATCTTTATCCTAATACCGATACAAATCTGGTAGATATACGTGGACAGATTGGATTTCAGCAAGTATTATACCATCTCGCTATAATACAGAAAGCATACATCGAATTTTGAACAAACAAGGCAACAACCTAAGGAACGCATAACGAATAGGCGAGAAACCCGAACATGCACCAAACAGCACGTCAAGGTTTAGGCATCCGTGTTCTGCATTCCGTTGATGAAGGATATTATTCTATGGATTTTAAAGAGACCGATTATCCTAAAAAAGGGTTGAAGACCAAAAGGAGAACGGTTAATAATTGAATATTTGTTCGTTAATGACGATTCTAAGTCTAATTGATCGAACAGAGCTCAGTTAACAGTTTACTGGTTTGATGCCAGTCATGCTCTTATCCATTCAATCAAAAACATATGGAATGTCTACGGAAGGGGATAAACTATGCACAAAAACATCAACAACGGGGGACTGAAAGTGACAAAAAATCAGCAATCAGACGGAGCTAAGTAGAATAAGGAATGTCCGATTTACTTCTGTGAGATTTGGTCGGGACACCACAATCAATCCGACCGATGATGAGTAACTAAATCGGATGAAAAATCCATTATAAGTCTTAAAATACATATAGCATCGACAGATTCAAGCACTTACTTGTCTGCGTTAGATGTTGGACAAGGTGGGAGTGTTGAATTGAATTGGGTGCTATTACTGACCTCTTCGGCATCACCAGCTAGGCTGATCCAGCGGCAAATTCTCCCGTCTAGATTGGCGCATAATTGGAATCCGGGAGCCCAATAGATCAGACTCACAACGGAGAGTACACAGATCAAGATGGAAGGAACCAGACGGGCAGCGGTGGTCAGACAAACACGAACCATTTTCTGTTGATAAAAAATCGTGGACGAAAGGTATTTTCAAGAAACGATAAACCGAAAACAGGGAAACAAAACCGAAAAACAAAAATGCAATAAAAAGATATGTTAATCTTTTCCAAACAGGAAGCCTTTATTTCCGAGGCCCGAACACAAGTGAGGCTCGATGAGATTCACTGGGTGAGATGGTGAACGTACACATTTGGTCAACCATTTGCCCCGTTTGACTGGCGGTTCCCGTAGCGGTCGGTTTCGTTCCACGCGACGATCGAGCATTGAGAAGCTAAGCCAAGGCACAACGCCTACCACGAACCAAAAGCACTGACCAGCACTGAATTCCGGCACCAGTGAAGAGGGATTTTGAGTCGCGTGTACTAATCCTTCACGCAGTAAGGTGAAATTAACGGGGAGGTTCGAGGGATGCAACAGGGCCTCATCTTTTAGCGGGATAAGTTGAGTTCGTAGCCACTGTGGTGGAAGCCACAGAATAGGATTTCGAACCGTTTTGGAACTAATATTGGACTCAGCCAAACTCCGCATTTGGTAGGCCGTAGTGGGTAAACCCAACAGCAGCAGAAATAGTTGAACCAGGGCAAACAGAAGAGCCGGAAACCAGTAGAGTGCGACAACAAGATATAAGTTGTTGACGATGGCATGAGCCTGAGGAACAAGCAAAGGAAGAACGACAGAATCGATATTAAGGGATAACAGAAAGATAGCAAACTGAGCAGTACGATAAATGTTCCCAAGGAGGATCGAAGGGTAATAAAACCAAACGAAGCTATAAAGAGAAACCAGGTAGCGTGTAAGTTGGCTGGCAAGGTAAACATTTATTAGTTATTATTAGTTTTCAAATAATCTAATAGCGAAAAGAAAACGACCCTTGGTGAAATTTGAATGCACGAACGGAAGTGGACGGTGTTTCTGTAAAGTGTAGGCTCTACCAGCTGAGCGAGGAGGCTACACCTGGTGCGCTGATCTCAATTTCGATACCCATTAAAACTTACAGAAACAGGCACAAAAGACAGTAGAAAGACCGATTACGGCAGCAGGTTTTCCTTAGAAGCACCAGAGGTCTGGCAATTTGTTTCATTGTAGATCTTACGTACACTGATGATTGACGCAGTCACGAGGCGTAAAACCAGCCCGGTTATAACACAACAAACACAAAGTTACTGAAATTCGCCAACGTTCTAGCCATTCGTGCTCTCAAACCCGATCTTTGCAAACAACGTGAATGGTTAGTCACATTGGCTTGGCCCTGGTGATTGATCCCCTAGCCTCTCTCTTCCCTCTTTTTTGTGTTGTGTTGTCTCGTGATGTCCGCTGTGATTAGCGGTCTTGTCTTCGTTTCACGGACTATAAAAATCACTTCGACTGTGGTATGCACGTGTACAGATACAGCGGAAAGACCATGTATACATTGTGCAAATCCGTGTTTCTGGCATCTCTTGCACGATTACTATGGCAAACAATGAGTGGAGTACAATGCCAGTGACGTTGGTGATTATTAGGAGAAACGCTTGATTTAGTCATAAATCTGCCAACTGATAACATAGTCTTAGAATTGAAACACAAAAATATTGCCTTCCGCACGGAAGCGCTGAAAATTTTCGGTAACGAAAGGAAATCAATTTAGGATGTGATCTGTGCCTTGGGTGAGCGAGAATTTCATTTGAGCTTGCTAGCAGCCTACGGATGTATCCCCTTTGGATGAAGAAAGCGAAAAAATCTAAGAGAAATTTATCTATTTTGGAACGTATCACATCAATAAGTTGCTAATGAGATCTATGGGCGAGTAAGCGAAGTCTATACAGCGCTTTTTCGGTGTGAGGTATTCTTAGCGCAGCTAAGAATCAGCTTGACATGTTCAGATCGGAAGTGGAGTGCTACTGGCAGGTATTATAAATTTGGTCAGTTTGTGAGGAAAATGATAGCTCATGAATTGTGTTCGACAACCGCTGTCTTGGTTCAACAGCTTGTGTTTCCTATACAGAACATGCGAACACGGATCAAATAAAATGGTGAGTGTTGGGCCCAACACGCAATCCAATTAAAACCCTGTTGAGTCGTCTCATTTTCATGACTCCGGTTAGGGAACATAAAATACACCGTTCTTAAATGTACACAATGACAAAAGTGATTCAGTGTTCTAACATAGACTTGGTCTTAACAAAAACGTATATTAAAGAATGCGAAATTGAATGTAGTTTAAACGATCGCGTACCCTCTCCTTCTACCTCTCTCTCTCTCTCTCTGTCACTTTCAAATTGGGATTCAAAAATGTTGTTCCTATTCTCGGAGAATTTTCGTTAATTATGACGGGGTTCCACTTTTACAGCTCGTACAATGTCTCGCACCGTAGAAGTCACTCCAGCAAAAAAACGGCGGGGGACAGTTTGCCGGTCAAAAANGTCAAAAAACCCCGTCAGATGGACGTAGGAACGGAGTACTCGGGGATTCCTCTAGACGGTGGGAAAAGTCTTCGCACTTCATCGGACAGCTACCGTCCGCCCAAGCTGGGCAGTACCCCACCAATAAAGTGCTGTCCCGTCCACGCTCCGCTTGTCTCACTGTGTGCATGAAGCATAGGGCTGATCCCGAAAAGCGGACCGTCATCCAACGCACCGCGAACAACATTATTCGAATTTCAAATCCAAATGTGGAACGGATGTTTCTTGAAACG